GAGACAGAAAAGAATAATAGATTTAGATAAGACAGACAGACACATAGACAGAAATAGTGAAAGAGATGGTTAGAGAGACAGAAGAAGTAAATAAATACGAAGATAGACAGAGAAACTAACTAATAAAACAGAAGAGGAAAATATACAATTCATTTCTTGTTCCCACTTCCTATACCATCTTTATTCATTGCCTCTATTTCCTCTTTACTAATCCCCTTAACATCCTATCTCTATCTTACTTATCTCTCTCATTTGCTCCCCACTTCCCATCGTTATCTCCTACTGCTTCTATCCCTCTCTATACCCCTTTTATTTATTACTCTTCATTATAATCATTGCACTTTTGCTTTCTCTCTTCCGCCTCCTCCTCCTCCAGTTTCTCCTATTTCTCTCTCTCTCTCTCTCTCTCTCTCTCTCTCTCTCTCTCTCTCTCTCTCTCCAATTATCATTTCTTTCGAACCTTCCATTAATTTTGAACACACGATACATCCCCGAACACTTATCAATCCCCTCTCATCAAACTCGTCAGGAGTTTTTTGTGTGTGGGGTGACGGAGAGGGGGAAGGAAGAGGGGTGAGAGGGAAGGGGATATGGTGGGGGAAAAGGGTGGGGGGCACAACCAACGTCCAAGTCTCAGGTTTCAAGAAAATCCGTGACCAATGTTTCCCGAGATCTCCTCCCCTTCCCTGCACCTTACCCTTCCCCCTTCCTCCCCTCCCTCCCCTTTTCCCCTCCCTCCCCCACCCCACCCCCTCCCCGCCCCCACACACATAATAGACGGGTCAGGGTCACCACGACGCCAGCACGACTCGTCCTGGGATTCAATTATATTTTCTTGTTTTATGTTGTTTTCTTCCCCCCTCCTTCCTTGTTCCTACGCCCTTCCCCCTCCCTCATTTCCCTTCCTCCTCCCTGCTCTCCCCTTCCCTTCCATGCTCTCCCCTCCCTGTTCTCTCCCCTTCTCTTTCCTCTAACACTCACTCTCTCCTTCACTCCCTATTTCTTATCTCTTTCTTTTAATCTTCGCTCTTCTTCCTTCACGCCCTTGCTCTTCCTCCCTCCACCTCCTCTTCCTTGGTTTCCTCTTCCATTATCCCCTCTCTTCCCTACCACTTTTATTCTCCTCCTTCCCCTTTCCCTCCGTGCTTTATCAACCTCCTTCCTTCCTCTTCCTGTTTTATCACGTCCTGTTCCTCTTCTTCGCGCTTCACTCACCCCTCTCCTTCCTCTCTCTCCCCTTTCCCCCCTTCCTCATCCTCCTCTTTTATCTTTCCCTCCTTCTATCCTCTCCCCCTGTCCCTCCCTCAGCCTTTACTCTTATCCCTCCCTTTCCTACGTTTTTCCTCCCTCCCTCTCATCCTCCCTTCCTCGTTCCCCTGTTCTCTATCTCTCTCTTTCTCATTCTCCTCTCTTATCTTCCCCTATCCCTCACTCCCTCTTTCCTTTCCTCCTCGTGTCGTCAGTTTACCATGTACATAGCGTTAAATATTAAGGGTGGAGGGAGGGAGAAAGAGAGAGAGAGAGAGGAAGGTCTTGTTGGTGAATAGCTAGGAAGCATTAGCAAACACAGGCCTCCTTCCTTCCTTCCTTCCTTCCTTCACATGCAATACCGCCACAACTGACTTCCTACTCATCATTGCCACTGCTCCCGTCACCATACTGCCGCTACCCCCATCACCATACTGCCACTGTCCCCATCACCATACTGCCACTGCCCCCATCACCATACTGCCACTGCCCCCATCACCATACTGCCCCCAACACCTCCATAATCAGTAACACTAACACAAGCTCAAACACTGATACAACACTGATGTCTAATACAACTCATACACATAAATACAAAAACTAATCTTAACATTAACACGAAGGAATGTTTATCAAGGTCATTATCATTCTCTACTCTTCTTTTACCTCCTCTTTTATTCTTATCCGTCTCCTCTTCCCTCTTTCTCTTCCTCTTTTCGCTTCTCTTCTTCGGTTAGGTTTGGTTAGGTTAGGTTGTGGAATATTAGGTCTTAGGCCCCTTTTGTCGCCTTACGTTTTATAGTTGAGGTGACACATGACAACTGTTGAGGTGACACATGGCAACTGTTGAGGTGACACATAACTGTTGAGGTGACACATGACAATTGTTGAAGTGACACATGGCAACTGTTGAAGTGATACATGACAACTGTTGAAGTGACACATGACAACTGTTGAGGTGACACTGTTGCATCGTCTCAAAGATGAGATTGGTGGGTCCCTGTTGCTTTTACCACATGGACGACCCGACCTCCACAGACGACCACTCACACTACCACATGAACGACCCGATCTACACACACGACCACCCACACTACCACATAACGACCCAACCAACACACACGACCACCCACATTACCACATGAACGACCCGACCTACACAGACGACCACCCACATTACCACACAGTCATAAAAGAGTTGATCAAAGGAGTTGACAGAAAAGCAATTAGTAAATATGTCCTAAGGCAGGGAGGAAAGGGAAGGTGTGGAAAGTGGAGAAGAAGAGTATGAACGGAGGAAAAGATGGAGAGATAGGGGAGAGAGAGGAGAAAGAAGAGATACGGGAGAGAGGAGAGGATGGTAATACCTCTTGGTTCTTAAATTTACGAACCCACGAGTTATTTTGGGCGTTTTATAATTTTTTCAAAGTACAGAAATTCCGGGGTCGTGGAAGCACTAAAGGCCTTCTTGAAGACACGAGGAATCAGATTCTGGAGCAAAACTGTCGTCTGATGAGAATTTAGAAGGACAATTTTTGAAGGGTGGACAGGTGTATGAACACAAGGCCTTTACAAGAGTGAAGGCTCACCCTCGACAAGAAACGTGACGTTAACACAAATATATTTTTTTATTTGTTCTTAAATGTTGCAAGTCACAGCTGAGACGACCATGTGAAGCCAGAAAGTGAATTCCTTTTCGGAAGTGTTAAATAAAATAAAAGCAGGACAAATTTTGCATTCTACTGCTATAAGTAAAGGCCGCTGGTTCGCACCCGGGGCATTCCTTATTCATCCAACAATGAAAAGGTACCTAACTCTACAGTTCAGGAAGTGGAGGCGATCAGGTGTAGTGCCTGCCACACTGCCTCCTTGTGTACCGAAGGCTTAGTATACAGTGTGTGTGTGTGTGTGGTATTCGCACATGAGGTTGCAGGTCATAGACAGCCTTGTCTTAATGGGTGCAAATCCTAAAATACGGGAATCTTAAATCAGCCAACATGAGAACAGTGTAACACTACTACAGTCGCTGTGGCAGAAGACGGAGGACCTTCACGGGTGAGAGGAGGCAGAGACTTGACCTGTCACTGATGGACAAGACATTTGGATTCGACCCCACACGAGCCAAACTAATCCCCAGATTCGACCCCGAAACCACGGCCTTGGTCAAGTCTAGGAATATTAGGTTAGTGTTGGACTAACTTAGGTTACGTTTAGCTTAAACAAGTTAATTTAGCTTTATCTCACAACAGCCCCCAATCATGATAGACCCCACTCAGTCTCCAATCCAAATAACCCCAAATCATAATAGCCCCCGGTCACTATACTGTAGGTCCCAGTCATTATAAGACCGATTCATTATTCCTCCGTTCATAATAAGTCCCAGTTCTAATAGACCCTAGTCACAATAGGCCCCAACATAACCTGACCAAAATATCAGGGGCCCAGTCCTAATGAACCCCAATACTAATTGATTACATTAAGTGAACTTGGGACCTATTAAGACTGGGGCTTCTGATGACTAGACCCTTTAAGGACTGAGGCCTAACATGAACTGGGGCCTATTAGAACTGGGACTTATTACGACTGGGGTCCATTTGAACTAACACCCCCACGATCCATCACACACCACCACTCACAACGAAGGTGATTCAAGTTCCTTCGTGTATTTCCTGAAAACATTTTCCCTGCAACCATAAATTTATTTAACACATTTGTATTTCACCTGGATCCTGAACTAATATTTACCCTCACGCTTCAGCTGAGACCCACGCTTCACTGAGGGATGTAAACAAGGCGGGTGTGTTTCGAGCGTTCTGCCTTAAATTTGTGATCGTGTTCTACTATCAACCTGGAATCTGTACTTGTCTCTGTGGTCGTGATTGTGTTTATACTCGTGTCTCTGAGTGCATATATGCTTGCATCTGTACTTGTGTCTGTAACTGTATCTGTACCTACGAATGTATCTCTCCTAGTAACAGATACTTCTACTTGTGTATGTGTCTCTCTATACTTGTAACTTTCTGTAACTGTACCTATACCTGTGTTATGTACCAGCACCTCTTAAATTGTTTCTGTACCTGAACTTGTACCTGTGCGTGAGAAGGTTAAGTCCCCCCCTTCCCTTCATAGCGTAATCATTCAAAGAAAACGACGTCTTCAATACCATACTGTACATCCTGGCATAAACAAAAGATTTATTCCATAATTACAAACAAAACAAAAGACAACACATCACACAAAAACAATAGCGAATGTTTTTTTTTTCTTAAAGTATGAGTAAAACTGGTTGAGAAGTAATCAAAACATTGCCTGGAAACAACGACCACACCCCCACCCACCCTAAAAAAAAATTTAAACATGTAAATAAAATAAATAATTCAGGTTAATAACACCTTTATAGTCTAACTGATGACAGGTAGAAGAACTACAATAATAGATAAGATAACAACAATGGGTAGGAGAACAATAACAACAGGTAGGAGAACAATAACAACAGGTAGGGGAACAACAACAGGTAGGATAATAATAACAACAGGTAGGAGAACAACAACAGGTAGGATAACAATAACAGGTAGGATAATAATAACAACAGATAGGAGAACAACAACAGGTAGGATAACAATAACAGGTAAGAGAACAATAACAACAGGTAGGAGAACAACAACAACAGGTAGGAGAACAATAACAACAGGTAGGAGAACAACAACAGGTAGGAGAACAACAACAGGCAGGAGAACACTCAAGATACTTACCAGCTTCTCGACCGCCCTTAATGGAGAATCCAAACCCCTGACCGGATTGCGAGTCCCTGTGCACCTTGAGGAGCCGGAAGCCAGGCCCCGGACAGCTCATCAGGCCGGATAGCAGCACCTGTACATGACATAGCTGGGTTACAAGCTATCGTTAACACAGGTGGGTTACAAGCTATCATTGATACAGGTGGGTTACAAGCTATCATTGATACAGGTGGGTTACAAGCTATCGTTAACACAGGTGGGTTACAAGCTATCATTGATACAGGTGGGTTACAAGCTATCATTGATACAGGTGGGTTACAAGCTATACAGGTGGGTTACAAGCTATCATTGATACAGGTGGGTTACAAGCTATCGTTAACACAGGTAGTATGGAAGCAGAGGTGTAGTACTAGGAAAATGGGGTGCAGTATGGGGGTGATGGGGTGCAGTATGGGGGTGATGGGGTGCCTGGGGTGATGGGGTGCAGTATGCTGGTGATGGGGTGCAGTATGGGGTGATGGGTGCAGCCTGGGGGTGATGGGGCATATGCTGGTGATGGGGTGCAGTATGGGGGTGATGCGGGTGATGGGGGTGCAGTATGCTGGTGATGGGATGCAGTATGGGGTGATGGGGCAGTATAGGGGTGATGGGGGCCGTATGGGGGCTGTATGGGGGTATTGGGATGCAGTATGGGGTGATGGGATGCAGTATGGGGTGATGGGATGCAGTATGGGGGTGATGGGGTGCAGCACGTGGACGCAGGACTAAGGTGGAGGAATAAGTATATCAACAATTTACCTTTGATTTATGGTTTTTGACCTTCTTGCTGAGTCTGTGGTGGTGATGGTGGTGTTTGTGGTGGTCGGCGTGGCGGGGGGGCGGCTGAGGGGCTCCCTCCTGGATGGGGATGAACCCCAGTTGACGGGAGAGGCGAGAGGCGTTGTCGGGGCCCACCAGGCGAGGAGGGCCGGCTCCTATCCCGCCAGGAGGGGGCCCTGGCGAAATGGGCTCCTGGGGGCTAGCCGGGGGCGGTGGGGACCCCGGAGGTTCGTGGGGTGGTACAGGTGAGGGCGGGGGGTCCCTAAGTGAGGCGGTGACAGGTTGGGGTGGCGGGGGGTCCTCCTCGTCGTCAGGGTTCTCGTACATGATGTAGGACTCCTGTAAACCCGAGTGTATCCTGCGCAGCGCGGCCTCCACGCTCGACACCAGCGCTGCCAGTCGCTCTTCGTCCTCTTCACCCAGTTCGGGGCGCGGGGAGGCTTGGGGGGGCCCCCGGGGCAGAGTGTTGAAGTCCTGCGGCATGACGTAGACAGGGTAGTGGACGGCCCCGGGGTCCTGCGTCCACACGGTGCCGGTGGCCGTGGTGTAGCTCGTCCCGTGTAGCCCGTCCATCGACACCGTCGTCACTGCCTCCTCCGTGGTAGTGGCGGCGGTGGTGAGGCCGCCATTGAAGAGAGTGGTGGGGTCGGGGGCGCGGGTAGGTGGTGGAAAGACATGGCCAGGATTGTCCAATGTCAGGTTGGTGAGGCTGTGGTGTAGGCCTGACACAGGTGGGGGGGCGCCACCCCACAGACCCAGCCGCGCCCTCCCTCCCCCATCCCCGGCGACGGTGGTGAAGGCGGTGAAGGGGTTATGCTGGGTGTGGGAGGGGGGACCATGGAGTGGCCTGGGATTTACTAGGACGGGGGGGTCGACGATGGAGTCCTCCTGGATGGAAGGGGCGGAGCGACTGCGGGCGGAGGATGCAGGCGGCCACACGGCGGGCAGGGCGCCCCTGAGGGCGGGCGGCGGGGGCGGCGGCACATCAGTGAGGCCCAGCTGGTACAGCTCCCGCTCGATGTCATCGTTGTCGGGGTCGTGGAGGTGCGTCATGCTGGTCACTACCTGCCCCCCTCCACGCCCCCCCGCCCCATGGCTGCCCGGCGGGGGGGCTCACCTCCCGCCCACGCCCGCGCCGCCTCACCTCCCGCCCACGCCCGCGCCGCCTCACCGCACACCCACGCCCGCGTATCTCCGTTCATACGCCGCCCACCGTAACCACGTCACCAACACGAGCGCATCAGCTCCCGCTACCTGCAAAAAACAACAGAAGTGTTAAACTTTATGGTGTAGCTCCGGGAACTTTATAATGTAACAATAACAACAAGTAATAAATTGTATGGTGCAACAACAGTTATCACAACACGTAATTAACCTGTATGGTGCAACAAGTTATACCAACAAGATGTGTATGATGCAGCTCCAGTAACAATAAGTCTACTGGCCCAACAAACAGAATATCATGTTCGAAGTTACTTAATATCTTCTGAATCATTGACTAAATTTGTTAAAATTTAAGGCACGTGCCCCCCCACTCCACGACATATCTTAAAACTCTAGCAGACTTGCGTTGGCTTAAAGGATTAACGCGATGCAAGGCGATAAAAGCACACTTGTCCAACGCCCAGCATAAGAGTCTAGCGCCTCGAGTGATGCCTGATAACTTCTGCGTCATCAAGAAATATGACTCTCCCTGATCATAGAGTTCTTCATTTACGATCGAGCTGGAGTCGTTTGCAATGTTTATTTGTGTCATACATTTTTTTTGTTCATTAAGACCGTTGCTTTGACGTTTATGAGAAAATACTGTTTTTCAGGATAATTCAAACGTATGTCAGTTTTATATCAATAGTTACAGTAAACACACTGTTGTTATTAACGGGGACATTGAAATATAGCCTCAGAGAATACAAGAGTAAAATTTGTCAGCCCTACCACAATTTTTGGCTGTTAGAGAGAGACAAATCAACAGTTAGCAACGTGTGGAGGTATCGGACAAAGATGATACCAACACCACCAAAATACATTGTAACAGTTCACAGTGGCCAGGTGGTGAAGACCGGGACACACGCCAGATTAATTTAATTCCATAAAAAATATTTCATCATGATTGGTTAACAAGTGTCAGGTCGAAATGTGGTGGATCAATCAGAATTAATATCTATAATGTATACAGTACAGGAGTCTCAAAAGATACATAATACTGAGTCTTACGTGAAATGGTTGAAATATATTTGATGTGTATATCTTTTTTAACTTGTTACTAATTAATCCTCAGCTGGAGGCAGTGGTCCTGTATATCAACATTTTAAGTTAAATCAATGAACAAATAATATAAATCTTGAACCCTTAACCGCGGCTACTGTTAACGTTAATAATCATTTCATCCCCAATAGTCCAAATATATACACATAACATTATACCTGTCAGGGTCAGTGTGATGCCCCAGTTACTAATATTAATCGAAGATATTCGTAATAATCTGCATATTTATCTAAATTAATAGTAAACAATGTTATAAATGGAAGTTCCTGAAAACATACAGTACTGTACATCTTAGGCGTATATTAGGATTTAATCAGAATGGCTTTTATTTGTTCAGTATTAGTTGTGTATTATCGAAGGTATTACTTAACTGAACAGTATGAGAAAGTTTAAACTGACACCGTTGTCATATTAACTACAGTACGAATTATTATACAAATTAATTTTCGCTCATTAAACAGAACCACAGAAAACGTGGTTCTCTCGTACGTTTTCTATGATAACTTGACTTGCTCGCTGCCAATAGTCGCAATATAAACAAACTTACGTGTCATGGTATTATTTTTGATCACTAGTACACATCAAACGGACTCTTTCATAAAAAATACGATTTCTAAAAAAAATAATACGTTTATAAACGAACTTAACATAGTGATAACTTACTTGATGACATACTACTTTGGGTATGATAGGGGTTAGTTAGGCTAAGTCAAGGTCTATAAGAAGTTGTTTAGGTTAGTCATGAATATATTCCAAGTCCTGGTACAGTAAAGGCGAGTCCTGTGTACAGTATTTCACTACACCTCGACACAGAGACACTCCAGCAGGTAACAACTGCATATACTTCGTTATACTGTCCCATAAAACACCACTTTTTCTACTGATGTTTTACTTTGATCGTTATAAGTTAACACTCTTAACTCTCTCTCTCTCTCTCTCTCTCTCTCTCTCTCTCTCTCTTACATAAAATTCATTATAAGTTAATGGTAACCAGCTGTCCACAGTATATTTTTCTCCTCTTATCAATAAATAAACAACAACGAAAACTTCTCAGACAACCAGATAAAAGATTCCCAGATTTCATCAAGATATTCCCCAAGACTTCGGAAAAAAAAGACACACACACACACACACACACACACACACACACACACACACACACACACACACACACACACACACACACACACACACACACACACACACACACACACACACACACACACACACACACACACACACACCAAACTATCATTGCTTCACACGTCCTGCAACACAAACCATTGGAGGAAACGTTCAATACATTTATCTGGACAATATTTCATCTTCCCGTTAACTTTTTTTTTCTTTCCCTTCAACACCCCTGAGTTTGGATTCCCAGACACTCACAGGTTCATTTTTCTGTTCATACTGTGGACAAAAAGAACACATCTTGCCGACAGATAAAGAACATGTCTTGGTTGTATTCTTAGTGTAAATGCTTTCTCCGTCTTTGCATCTAAGCTTAAGTGAACGAGGTAGATGCCATAACCAGTAATGGAAGAAGAATTAACGTATAAACTTTTGAGAAATGAGAAAATGTTACTCCACGACCCTTTAAGACCCCAGAAAAACTTTAACTGATGAACCTCTGAAAATACCGAAAAACAATATCGTAAGAAACTTTCAAGATCCGGAAAATATTAAGACAGGAAGCACTAAGACTCGGGACCCTGGACCATACTTCAAATATTTCTTGGTCTTTCGGCGGATAGGAATGTGATGGCGGTATTCAATAACTGGACTCAGCTTAAGGTTGATATGAAGCAGGAAGACCTAACTCGGGCAGCCATACCAGCGTAGGAACCTTTATATATCTATCACCACCACTACCACCACTACTACTACTACTACTACTACTACTACCACCATCACAATTAGTCAATACGCTGATGTCTGGTACTGTACTGGCTGTAACCGAACAAACCAACGTCACTTAGGTTCAGAAATATTTAGAGAGCTACGTCTTGCATTTCCCGCAGCAGTAGTAGTTGTAGTAGCAGTAATAGTAGTAGTAGTAGCAGTAGCAGTAGTAGTAGTAGTACTAGTAGTAGTAGTAGTAGTAGTGCCTGTGTGAAGTCTCTCATAGTATCATTCTGATGTATGGATGGTCGCTATAGGGGGGTAACCTACACACCCACGCGCGCGTATGCCCTACTACCTGGACACCAGTCCAGCCTGTCACCTCTCCCTCATTCATAGAAAGTTATCTTGTGGGGGAGAAAGATCCCGGACGGACGTACCGTCCCAAGGTGCTGGTCACATGCCTGTATGCTGCTGCTGGCTGTCTGCTGAAACTGCACAAATTGTGTTTGTGCGAGAAATAACCGACCATGTGTGAATTGCAGGAAGCTAGACCAGTGTCGGAACCCACGTCGCAGGGAGCCGACACAGGCGGCCACAGTGGATATCGCCGGGACCCAACTACCCGATGATATCCGAAATGATAGCAGTGAGTCTACTCAACCCGATAATGTAGTACTAATAAATGCTGCTCCCTCAGTAGCAGGTGTCCACGAGGAGAATGAGAGACAGCCGCCTCAGTGGAATGGCATGTCGATGGAAAATGCCGGCGTATGGGTCAAAGAAACCTACTCAGAAATTGTCAAGTGGTCGCCCGCTAACTTATTTGAACCACCCAAGTGTGCGGCCACCAAAGAAATGATTCGGGAGATGACTCACTTCATGACTGATTACACTCAGGACCGCTTCCTCGCCCCCCTAGCTCTTCAAATACTGGCAATAATACCACATCTATTTTGTCAGAGGACACACACAAAGGCTAAGCACAAAGAAAATGTGGCAGCAATGAAGAGAAGGTTGACAATGTGGCAGACTGGGGCCCTAGATGATCTCCTATGTGAAGCAAGAACACTGCAGGAGAGACTAAAATCTACGGGTGACGGAAAGCAAAACACCGATGACGTGGCAAGACAATTTGGAAACAAAATGCGTGTGGGAAAAGTGTCTCTCGCGGTAAGATCTCTCACACATGAATCCTCCGGTGGAGTGATGCCAATAAACAGAGCGACATTAAAACTATTGAAAGAGAAACATCCCCCTGCAAGCGAAGATGAAGGCATCAGGCTCCAGGGTGCTTATATCCCACCAAACGCTGTCCTGTTCGAGAAAATAACAGGAGAGATGGTGTGGAAAAAGGCACTGAAGACTCGAGGCGGAGCCGGCCCTTCAGGTCTGGATGCAAACGGTTGGAGAGTCATCCTCAGCACAAACAAGTTTGGCCCTGTAGCAAGCGATCTCTGCACTGCCATTGCCACCCTTGCAAGAAAGCTTGCATCCTCTTGCTGCCATCACCTCCAGGCTCTGACGGCCTGCCGCCTTATTCCTCTGGAAAAGAAACCAGGATGTAGACCTATAGGGGTGGGGGAAGTGCTGAGGCGGATCATCGGAAAGTGTATAATGGAGGTGGTAAAGGATGATGTCAGGGCAGCAGCAGGGAACCTACAAGTGTGTGCTGGCCACCAGGCTGGTGGGGAGGCGGCCATTCACGCCATGAGATTGATATTTGAGCAGCGTGATTGTGAGGCCGTTCTCCTGGTGGATGCTTCAAACGCATTCAACATACTTAACCGCAAGGCGGCACTGCACAACATCAAGATCAAGTGTCCTAGCTTTGCGATGTATGTTGAAAATTCGTATAGGAATCCTTCAGACCTCTACGTAGTAAACAACAAGGCTCTACGAGGTGATACCATCCTACAGTCGACCGAGGGAACAACACAGGGAGACCCCGTTGCAATGGCAATGTATGCAATAGGCCTATCAGTGCTCCAACAAGAAATAAA